GAGAGGAGGAAAAAAAAAGCCTCCACAATCAGCTGAGCGGAGCTGATTGTGGAGAGAGCTGAGCAGCCGCCCCTACGCTTTTCTCTTCTTTATCCTGTCAGCTGATTGGCTCTGCAGGCCTCAGCTGGTGTGGGGAAAGCTGAGCGCATATGTGTGTTAGGTGTACACGCATACGTTAGGTGCGCATGCACACGCGCACGATTACCAAACCGGTAGTGGAACAGGTAGGATCCCAGTGCTGATCTAAACCCCGTATTGTGGTTTTTCTGGAGCAGGATAAAGAGCTGACTCTTCTCAACGTAAGTAGCTCTCGGGCAAATTATACTATCAAGAGAACATTCTAGTCTTCAGGTCAGCCAGTGAGGGAGGCGGGTTCATCTCCTATCCAGGTTGTTGCAAAATGATTGGGGCACAACAGCACAAGACATTTTACTCACTTATGTCTGAGAGGCATAACAGGTTCTTGAGCGGGGTCACAGGGGCTCCACTTTCATATCAATATCAGCACACGAATGACAAATATGAGACACAGAAATGTCTGTGATCATTTTGGTTCTACTTATTTCATCATTTTTATTCTACTTTATTTTGTATAGCTGGTACCATATTAAATTCAAGTTGACAGTCAGTAACAGGTCCATAGGTAGAGATTCAATTAAGGTAATCTAAAACATGACATAGAATCGTTGCAGAACTCTCAGAACTTAAACACAGAATCACACTTACATAGGGATACAGTTTTTATTCTATTACTTCTAAGCACATTGTTGTGTAAAATATGGCTAACATGTTTTTATTTATATCTCTTCAAGTAAGTGAAAGAACTCAAGGTTTATTGCTTCAATGATAGCTGATCAGTGAGGAGGTCAAATTCCTAGAGCTCCTCTTTTCTGTCTGGTACTAAATGATTGAACCTCTTTCAGGTTCAAAACTTATTAACCAACTTTTTATATTGTCATTGTGCAGCTGATGTGGAGTTGAACATGGTGCTTTTTTATAGTTCTCCTAATATGGGCTTTTAAAAGTCAATTATATTGTTTTGTGGCCCTTACCTACCCCTCCCCCCGCTTATCAATGAATTGTGCAAATTCAATTTAATGGTTTTAAACCAGGGGGGTGAGGTTGTGCCATAAGCAAATGATGAAAAAGACTTATTTTTGAAAATATGCTTTTGAATCAGCTACCCAAAAGCAGTTAAATTTAAAACAATTCTTTTAATATGTTAATATGTATCCACATATAAATATGGAAAAATAATATAAAGAACAAATGTCATACACAGGGCTTGCAATAGAAGGGCCTCTTGAAAGTTTTCAAACTGCACATTAATTGCAAAAAAGCAAATTTGTATTTTGCAAGTCTTTTTTCTGGAACAAAATGTTTCTCTCCTTCAGTGTCTTGGATTAATTACATTTGATGTAACTGTTTCTGCCAATGATGTCCCATTTTTAAAATAGGTTTTTATTAGAAAATTTAGAGGACTTCTTTAATTTTTTATTATGCAGTGTGACTGGTAGAAGATGTGTGTTCCTAATGGAAAAGCAGTTATTGCTATGATCACTTGCTCTTCTAATGAAGTACAAAATTGTCTTCAGAGGTTTAATATAACTGCCTTTAAAAAAAAAAAAAAGGCTATTTCCCATTACCCAATTATATAATGTTCAATGTCTGAGCTTAGTCATTTAAGGTTAAATGTATAGGCCTGACTCCAAAAATGCCTTTTCAAGAATGGAAAGATTTTTTTCCCCCAGCATTAGGATAAGATTAGTTTTGGATATTGCATAATCGGTTACTCAAGATGCATGCTTAACTCAATGTTGTCTTTGTCAAAATTCTACATTTCTATGATAATTTTTTTTCAATAATACCACTGTCAGAATGTCTTGAATATCTTTGGATTTAATTTAGTAGTTTATGTAAAAGGAACCTGTTTATTTATCTACCCTTCAGTGTGGGTAACTTACTGATGAATTAAACTAAAGCCGCAGAAAGCACATATAGGAATTTGGGGAGGAGATGGAACCAAGCAAACAAACAATAAAAAGCCTTCAAAACTAGTGAAATTGTAAAGCTGCTGGCAACTTCACAGTAAAAATAAAACAATGCCATCCAGATGTTGTCCAGAGCATAAGCACTGATACATGTTTAGTGAAACTGTCTTTTGGATATTTTAGTCCTAGCCTACTGACAGTACTGTTAATAGTTTGAATTGGCCATAGAAATAAATTAGTATTCAATACAGCTGGAATAGTATAAGAATAATACGTTCACCATAGGAAATGTTTGTTAAATCCCCCCCCCCTTTTTTTAACTGAACAGTTTTTCAGCTGAGAACTGAACAAAGACAGTCCCAGTGAGACTCTTGCAATAGTTCAGGCTAGATGTTATTACTGCGTAAGTATAGCCAAGTCTGCCTTCCTCCCAGCTGGCATGCCAGCTTAAGCTGGGGAGAAACACCCCTATTGTGGCCTTCTCAACATCCAGAAATGTCAAGCTCAGGAAACCTTCAACCAGCCAGATTAGTTTCTGGAGACAGAGAGCACCCATATACAGAACAAGCTGTACGTACTTTCCTGGATCAGTCAATTCCCCAAAGCAACAGTAGAGCATCTTGGATTACGTTTCAATTTCTTAACTCTCATCTCATTTATTACTCATTTCACCAGTCCAGAGCCTCAATTACTTCCCAAAAATGTAAAGGAAAGGAAGACAGAGCTGCTTGATTTCCTGTAAATGTCTAGCAATTTTTGTCAGTGTGATAATTTTCCAGGATCTTAAATGGAAGTGATAGCTGCATGAGAGAAATAAGGTCAGATGAGCTAGAAGGCCAGAAACAAATAGCCCATGGGTGCGCCTTTGAAGTACAGAGAGAAACCTAAGGGAGGAAATTCCAAAAACTCAGTCTCCCCTGAATTATTATGTAACGTGCTCCATATGCTGGAATTATTAGCAGAACTATCTGGGCAGAAAGTACAAGGAAAGAGACAAGTACAGTATTCAGAAATATTTGAAATGGAAAGGATACATAGAGTATAATAGTTGGCAATAAAAGTTGACAAATAATTATAAAACAGTCTTGTTATTTCATGGTAAGGCATTCCATTTTTATCAGTTTCAATAACCATAATATTAGTCAGTGGAAAATAGTACAAGACAGAGCAGATTCTTTATAGGAATAGTTAACGTAAAATAAAAATTGACAAATCACATCAGAGTTGGATACATGTGCGGTTAAGAGTTGTGCTTAGGTCAGCTATTTTACATTATCCAGAAATTTAAGAAGACTGCTCCTAATATTTATTTAATCTTTTTAAAGCACCTCTTACATAGCAACTGAATTAAACATTCCCCCCAGTGGCCCAGATTATTCCTGAATGATACAAAACAATTTTTGAGAAACAGCTTGTGAAACAATCTTCTCAATACTGTTCAATCAAACCTATATGGTTTTACAGAAGTTTATGCATATAAGTACTAAGCTTTACTTCATCTTACTTCAAATTGATATAATTCTTCCTTTAGGATTAGAGAAAAGTAGAACCCTTTTGTTCATAATTCTTCCAAAATCAATGAGTCCATCTAGTACCTTTTCAATGGTCCTAATTTTTCAACCCCCAACCTTCTCAATTTAAAATTAAATTTTGTCAATTTGAAGCACCCTCTTTATGCTCCTTTTTCTCACAGATCACAAGCTTATTTCCATAACAAAGGGGTCAGTCTAGTTTTTTCAAACTTTCAAACTGTTTCAAAATTTCAAACTTTTCCACTTTAAGATGTATGGACTTCAACTATTGGGATTCCCCACTCAGCATACAATAAATGCTCTTTGTGCACATCAACCCACTGCCATAAATAATTACTATGAAACCATAGGTGAGGGGGAGAGGGAGAGGTGGGGGGAGGGAGGGAGGGAGGGAGGGAGAGAGAGAGAGAGAGAGAGAGAGAGAGAGAGAGAGAATCCCACATACTCATTGGTGACAGTTGTAATGCTATTTAGACTTAAATCTGGTTTAAACCTAATCCTGATCTAAATATTTTCCACATTATTTGAATACTAATTTTCTTAAGGTAACAATTATTCATTGGTAATCAGTGGTTTGCGCACTGGAAATACTAAGAATAAGTTTTATAGAAGCTATGTTAAGAGTGGTGGAACTGGAGAACTTTGGAATTCAAATAACTGGTTTGGGTAGGTAGATATAAAAAATCCTCAAAGACATGCAGTAGAGTACAATTTATTACAGGAGTCTTTAATTGACAAAATTAAGTATTGGTTATATCTCAAGGACTGTATGCAAAGCAAGAACGACACCGAAATAGGTAATTATTAAGTGGGGGAAGGGGATCATGTTGATTCCTGGTAAATGCCTAAACTAGTCCTTCTAGATTTCTTGGTAAGAATATCATAAAATGGTTTGCCATTACTTTTTCCCTAGAGCTGAGGGGAAGAAACAGCCCAAGATCACCCAGTTAGTTTTATGCCTAAAGCAAGGCTACAACTCACAATCTCCCGATTCCTAGTCTAATGCTTTTAATTACTACACCAAACTGACTCTCAATTAAGCAGGTAGTTAGGGACTGTTGCTGAAACCAGCCAGGAATGCAAGCTTGTACAATATTTAAATCAGTGCTATTTCTCTGCCATAGAGTAAAACTGTTAATCCCCAGGATTGCCATTCACATTTATTGCACAGGACTCCCTTGTAAGAGGTCAAATAGGGACTAGTCATGCTGGGGAAAACATTCATCCAGTGCTCCATTATCCTGATTCATGATCATTTTCCTCAGCTAGTTCATTCAGGATCTTAAAGGCTGTTTTGCCAGAGAATATGCAATAATCACACCTCTTGTGCTACATCAGAGAGCTAAGTGTTGTTCCTAAACATCTAGCCCTTGGATAATAGCAGTGTGTATCTGACTACTATTTTTAGGTCACCAACAGGCTGCCTATAAGGAACTTTTCCCTTCCTTTCTCCAATATACTAGCATCTCCAATGGCATCCATCCCTCTTTTGCCTGGGTTATTAAAATGTGAATGATATGGAATTACACATTAGTAACCATTTTTGTTCAAAATACTCGGTGGGTGGCTTGGGTTGATCATCATTTATTTGTTTGTAGCATTTATGTCCCACCACAGTCCCAAAGGATTCTCAATGATTTCACTAAAATATAAATGTTAAAAATATTGACAGTGCAACAGTGCCACAACAACAACAACAAAAATCAAGAAGAATTCAGAAAGACAGTCCAAAATATTTCAGGCATCATGCCTCAAATGCCCTCTAGAAGAACAGTTTCTTCAACTGCTTCTGGCAGATAGCTAAAACCAGGATTAATTTAACCCCATTAAGAAATTACAATAGCTTATAGTCATCCATCCAGTCACCAGTGTCTCAAAATAACAGTAATGGAGTCTAGTTTCTCCCCCGCCCTGCCTCGCCCCCCACTTAATGGTAGTTGGTGACTCTACAACAGTTTTGATGTAAACTCAGCAACTTTAAGATGAGTGGACTTCAACTCCCAGAATGGCCCAGCCAGCATCTCAAAGTCATAAAGGTTGAGAAACACTGTCCTAGAGATGCTATAATAAGGCTTCTGCTTATATTTGAGGTCATTATGAATGTTTCCCAACCACTGTAATTAGCTGTCAACTTTAATTCTTCCTTGATGCTTGACATGCTCACCTGAAGTGTTTGAAGATTTTCCTTTGATCTTAAGTCTTATATGCCTCCTTTTCTGTAGCACAATAATGTTATCAAGTGGAAGATGAATGCATGGTTCTTATTTATAGCAAATTTTGGCTCAGAATGTTTTTCTTTTACAGAATGGAGTTTTATTATTTAATTGCTGATATGTAACTCTGCTATATAACAATGGTTCTTTGTTTTCTTCTTCAAAAGTAATTCTCTTTTTGGAGTTACAAAGAAAACTCATTGCTTTCTCTGTCAGATCTTCTATCATATATCTATTTCATAATGCTTTTCTGGAAGTTGGGAGAGAAGTCTGGTATCCCAGGTTTACCTTCCTATTTGGGCTTTGTAGACAAATAGACTTTTATAGGTCTGTAAGACTCTAAATCCAGTCCTTCCAGGCTGTTCTGTATCACTTATACCAGTTCTAAGGATAGACTTTAGTGTTTCAGTATCTCTTTGTAGCATCTCTAACTCCCCAAATTTCTTTAATTAACAGCCCATCTTGGAAATTTATAATTCTTGTCTTACCTATCAAATTATAATCTAACTATAGAAAAACACTGAATTACAAATCAGCCATTGAATTTCAGATCAAACTAATCCATAGATCAGTTCGGCTGTTTTCTGGAAAAGCATGTTACACAAAATTCTGGACATTGGGGCAAAATTGGTTTGACAGCCTAGCCTTCATATAACTCCTTTTTTTCTCCTAATCACAAATACACTTAACAGATAACAGATAATCAGAGTTGGAAGGGACCTTGTAGGTCATCTAATCCAACCCCCTGCCCAAGTGGGAGACCCTACACCATTTCTGACAAATGGCAGTCCAATCTCTTTTTGAAGGTCTCAAGTGTTGGCGCTCCCACAACTTCTGAGGGCAAGCTTTTCCATTGGTTGATTGTTCTCACTGTCAGAAAGTTTCTCTTTATTTCCAGGTTAAATCTCTTCTTGTTCAGTTTCCATCCATTACTCCTTATCTGGTCTACAGGTGCTTTAGAAAATAGCTTGACCCCTTTCTCTCTGTGGCAGCCTCTCAAATATTGGAAGACTACTATCATGTCTGTCCTGGTCCTTCTCTTCACTAGACTAGCCATGCCCACTTCCTGTAACCCTTCTTCATATGTTTTAGTATCCAGTCCCCTAATCATTCTGGTTGCTCTTCTCTGTACTTTTTCTAGAGTCTCAATATCTTTTTTACAGTGTGGTGACCAAAACTGGATGCAGTACTCTAGGTGTGGTCTAACTAAGGCTTTATAGAGTGGTATTAGTACCTCACTTGATCTCGATTGTATCCCTCTGTTAATGCAATTTAGGATTGCATTAACTTATATCAAACTTTTTGACAGACAAGGTAAACAAGGAACAATATCAGTAATATGACAGAACTGAATTGATCATGCCATATAATGGACTGTGGTTAACACCTTAGCTTTAAAAAAAGAGTTTAAGAAGGTACATTTGTCGCAAAGTTAAATCACAGAAGAAAGCTAAGTGCAGATCAGAATAAATGGGATACATTTTCTGTATTCCAAACAGATTTTTGATCAAACCTCTTGAACAACATTATTCTCAACCTACTCATTCAAGTTTGATTAGAATAATCCAATTTTTATTAATCCAGCTATCCAGGAAACAACTATGAAAGGACCTTATACTTTGTAGGAACTTCAGATGCCAATAGCTTCACCCATAAAGAGAACTCTTTGGAATAATCCAGATGTTTATCCCATTTATATTTAATGAATTCCAAGGATTCTTTATCTAATTTAATTGACAATGTGAAGTCAGATCTGAAATACTTATTTTTCCAAAAGTTCAAATGCTTCAGAAATGTAAAGGAACATCGTTTCAGGAACTCTCAAGGAATGGAGCAGTTATTGCAGACTACGAGGAACATGAAGGAAAAGTTTCTGGGTTTAAAAAGTAATTATCATATAATTCTCTGGGGATACTTCATCATTATAAGACTTATATCTGATGTACATAGACGGAAACTGGGGAGAGGCAGAGTAACTCTTATGATGGATGTCTCCTTCTTTTAAGAGCTTTCTTGGTCCTCAGCATAATACATACAATAAGCACAACAGTTACAAAACACCCCATAGTTTAAATCTGGCAACAACTCTGCTCTCTAGGCTTTGATGGAAGTTAGAGACACCTACCTCATGTCAGTCAGGGCAAAGCTCATTCAAAATCCACTGCTCAGTTGCTTCCAGTGTTCTGAGTATCTCTTTCAGCTTAGGTTGTGCTGGATGGTGTTTGCCTTTTCCAAAGGATTAGTCTTCTGTTTCACTGCTTAAACGAGGACCAATGACGTCACAATGAAATGTGATCCCCTGGACCCAGCCTTTATGGAGCTCCCCCCACATATGCACATCAACAACGATGAAAACTTGCCTGATTAGCCACTAAATTTGCTTGTATGCTGAACAGCCAGAAGTAAACCCCAGCAGCAGCCTCCCTCTCAACTCCACTGAACAACTACAGTTGTAACTTTGCTCACTGCTTGTTTTAGAAATAACTGCCTGGAGGGAAAAAAAAACAAACAAACCAATTTCTATAGTATAAAGTGGAATTCAGCTCTAAAAATATATCTTGGGAGATAGGTTTGCCTAATCTGCCAAAGCAAGAAGTACCCAGAAACTTCTGATGTGCCTATCCAGAACTGTGGGAGGAAAGCTCATATTTATAGAAATAATAGCAAGATAAAACAATGTTAGATGGTTGATAAGAGTGCTATTATTCCCAAACTGTATTCTATTATTGCCTTAGTTTATCTTCATTTGCACACTACCTTTATAAATACAATCCATCTTATGAAAGCAAAAGATTTTGGAAAATTAATGTTTAAAACCTTGCATATAAAAAACAATACATTTTTTTAACCTAAGCACCAGAAAACAAAACAAAAATTGTACTCTACAAATATGAGAACAAGAGAGAAGTCCACAATTGACTCTTTACGCATTTTGGGGATTCTAAAAAGAATAAAGGCAGCTGTGTTACCATGATTAACAACAAATCAAGACCATAAATTTGCTAAATAAATACATACACACATAAAAAACCATATTAAGCCAATACCTTTAGGAGGCTGACAAAAGGTTTAGAAAATAGCATGCAAGCTTTTGATTTTTCCAAAATCATGGGGGGCGGGAGAGAGAATGAGACCATCTAGTCAATTCTTGCCTGTATTAAGCTATATTCCAAGGTGGATGAATGGAATAAACTGGTAGGGTGTTTATATTCACTTTGGATAAAAATGTCTTAGAAGAAGAAATAAGGAAATTATTGTTGACACCCTTTTAGAAATATATTTGCATATAAATAACTAGTACGCTGTTTCTTTTTGAGATAAACAATGTAATATACAGAAAGAGTGAAGGGTATAAAAACATTAAGCAAAAAATATATATTAAAAGCATGAGATTAAAAAAAAGTAAGCATATCTAAATTATATGAAGACTATTCCTCTCCATACTTTTCTATCCTTGCAAATGTCTTTGCTTTCATCACCTCTATGCAACCCTTCATACACTGCCTTTTGTTCTTCGAATTTCTCACCTCTGTGTCTCAGAGGATCACATCAACTGCATGATTTTCTCAAGCCTCTCATTCTTCTTGAGCTGTTCGCTCTTCTTTCATATATTTGTTTTGTAATTCAATCCTAATAGTTCTTTCTATATAAGCAAACCATCTTAATGTACTTACTTCTTAAGTACAGTAGTGATCATTGATTCAAGTTTGCATTCAAACACATTCCTTTAAGAAACTATTCATTCATGGCCCTGTTGGTTTTACCCCCATACATTTCCCTCTGCCTTCAATTTAATTTTATGTTTCTCCTGACATATTGAACTTTGACCTCTAACTTATTTTACAAATAAATGCTCTGTCTTACATATTGGCAAAAAAAATCAGAAAATAAAATACAAGCTGAATAGTCAAGATCTTGTTGATGACCCAAGCTCTGTAAAGGACCTTGGAATACTCACCTCTAATGATCTAAGTGCTAGAGCCCACTGCAACTACATAGCCAAAAAGGCATTAAGAGTTGTTAACCTAATCCTACGTAGCTTTTTCTCTGGTAATATCACACTACTAACCAGAGCATACAAAACATTTGCTAGACCAATACTCGAATACAGTTCATCAGTCTGGAACCCACACTACGTATCTGATATTAGCACAATTGAGAAAGTCCAGAAATATTTCACAAGAAGAGTTCTCCACTCCTCTACTCGTTGTAGAATACCTTATGCCACCAGACTTGAAATTCTAGAACTAGAAAACCTTGAATTACGCCGTCTTCGGTCTGACTTAAGCATGGTATATAAAATCATACATTGCAATGTCCTACCTGTCAATGAATACTTCAGCTTCAACCATAACAATACAAGAGCACACAATAGATACAAACTCAAAGTTAACCGCACCAAACTTGATTGCAGGAAATACGACTTCAGCAATAGAGTGGTCAATGTCTGGAATACTCTACCCGACTCTGTAGTTTCTTCCCCAAACCCCAAAAACTTTAACCTTAGACTGTCTACTATTGACCTCACCCCTTTCCTAAGAGGTCTGTAGGGGGCGTGCATAAGCGCACCAACGTGCCTACCGTCCCTGTCCTATTGTTTCTCTTATTCTTTTATTTTTCTTATATGTACCCATTTCATGTATTCACAACTATGTATACACTTATACTTATTATCTTGTAAACAATTGGCAAATCAAATAAATAAATAAATAAATAAAAATTTCGTAAGTTTTGTAGATGTGTGTATTACCTTCTACTTTTTCATTAGCATTCAGACATCTCACAGTTTCTCTACAATGTCCACGATGAGAAGCAGCTCAAAATTAGAAATTCATGATTCCAGCCCCATTCTTTGTGAATGTGTATTATCACACACAAGTTTGAAAGAATAATGCTTACATGACAAAGTTTTGTCTTCCATCTTACAGGTTCCCCCTTGCAAATGCTGTTATCTCCATCCATTTGCCTACTGCTGGTGTCTTTTCTGGCTTTTCAAATGATCCCAAGTTGCATATACTAAAATCAAAACAGCATCATTCAATAGTGTTTGGGAGCAGATGCCGTAGAGGCAGCACAGGGATCAACAATTTAAAATTTAAAAATGCATACCAGTATTACTCTCTGCCAACCCAAGGATGAGTGAATATCACATTAAGCTAACAGAAGGGGAAAAAATCCAGAGTGTCCCTATGTGCTCTGATAAATTGCTTGCTTTAACCATTTTTTTCCACTAATAAACTTCTGAAGATTTTAGGCTCAACCTAGTGATCCAGTTGCCAAAACACGAAGGTGCATTTATCTTTTGGTAAGTAAATGAGGATATTCATTCATTCGTTTGTTTGTTTATGGATGCCTGAAGGTTAATTCCTCTGGATTTGGAAATGAAAGTGATAGGATAGTACCCAAAACCAAGAATTTGTTTATGGATGCCTGAAGGTTAATTCCTCTGGATTTTGGAAATGAAAGTGATAGGATAGTACCCATACCCAAGAATTTATATTAGTCTAATTTGGTTACCAGAGTTAAGGGCTGAATCATCATCCATCTAAGTATAAATATTAAGTTAACATCAGCTCTACTACTGTTTCCTGTAGTATTGGTAGTTCAATCCTAGCATTTTCAGCATTATTACCATCACTAAAGTGGTTGGATTTTCTTTCACCTACCTCCAGCAACAAAATTTATGATGGGATACTAATATTGGGTAAAGACACCAAGGAAATAAATTGAAATATCGCATAAGCATAAAGGATGCTGAAATATTTCCATAAATCTTGTAGTATCCCCATTCTTCAGTATCATTTTAGAGAATAATAATTTTCTCAGTTCCTACATATGGAGGGAAAGCCATCTAAGGAATAATCAGATGGAGTTGTACTCTTTATTCAAGATAGCACAGTTAACAGTTGCAACATAATCCCAAATGTTATTTTGATATTTGTGATTAATCAACATAGCCTTATTTACTGACATCTCAAAACCAAATCTGTTCTTTATTTATAGCTGTTGTCATAGTTCAAACTAACCTTTAGTTCAAAATAGCCTATAGTGGCAAGCCATTTTGAAGAAGGGAATCTCTCCCTCCCTGAACATTTAAATTCATAGTGGAATTATGAAATATAGACCAGAAACTTTTATTATAATTTCAAGTATAACCAGAGAAAAAGCCAGAAAAAGTCCAAGCCCAAAGAAAATTCAAATGTCAGGAAGGAAAGAAGATGATTTCTCCCACTAAATAGAGAGAAGGAAAAAGAAAGAATGGAATTTTAGAACAGTATGGATAACTAATACATGCACCCCAAAAATACTTATGGGCCAACAAAGAAGATAGAGAAACAATGATGATAAAACTTTGTGAAGGAAAATAAAAGTCTTAAGTTGCATCCATTTCCAGATCAAACTATGCCTGGTACTTAAACTTGGGCAGAGACATTGTAATTAAATGCTCATGATTGCCTCTGTTTGGTGTTTCTTGCAGTGTTTCTTTTGTGTACCTTGGAAGAAGAATTCACATCTTATACTGTTCTTTCCTTTAAACTCTTAAGGCATTTTATCTTTTGACTCATAGCCACCAAAGAAGAAATTCAAAGAGGTGTTTGTATTTTGTTGTTTTTTCCATTCTAGGTCATCATCAGAGTCTTGGATAGCGGATGTGTTTTATGGAGACTGCAGTAATTAGGGAGGCCGGCAGCTCAATTTATTTGAAAAGAAATTACTCTGGGGTAATGATTGGAACAAGAGGCTGCCTACAGAGTATGTGTTCTATCCTTCATGAAGTCTGGTATCATGTCTAAACTATTCTGGGCTGTCACATATATGTGCTATAATCATGTCCCTTTGGTTTTGATGGAAACTATGTTTGCACATTGATGCTGTATAAATAATCAAGAATAATCTTAAACATAAGACAAAGGTAGATGAAACCCAATAAATGCTATTTTGTTCCATCAATGTCTTGATGATTATTTCCAAGTGTATATATGCTTTTATCTATGGGCTATCCCAATGTTAGACTCTTGAGTGGTTTGCATAATACAATAAATATGCAATAAAACCACAGAAAAGTGGTTTCCAAAGAAAGTCCAGCTAAATTTTAAGGGCTTGTTTAAACAGAGCCAGGGTGTGGGCCAAGTAAATTTTGGGTGGGATTAAATTTTACAATACACTAGCCCTGTGCCAAAAAAATACATAACTAAGTCAGTGGAAATACTGTGTCATAGAAA